ATCTCACTATAAAAGTCTGTTACGATAATTGAACTGATCAACTCCCACAGGAAACATGAAAAACACCCTTTCAGCACAGCATTTGATAGAAGAATAGAGAACAAGGGGGAAAAGGAAATATAGGAAATTTAAAAAAAAATAATCCTTTTATCTGCTTTTTTGTTTATTGTAAGATGTCCTACCCTGCTCTCTACAAACCACTTTTAAAGCAAAAAAACAATGAAATTAGTTGCTGAGCCAAAAAATTCTACAGCAGGCTCCAGCTGTGACTCACGCACAGATGCACAGACACTGCAGATGCTCTTGGTTACTGCACCTAAGTCATCTTTGGAGTTAGCACAAATTGACAACAGGAATGATGACTAAAATTAAAAATTGTACTACAAAAGTAGAAGAAAGTTGTTTAATACACTGACTTCTTCTGTCAGGCCAGCTGTAGGTGAAAGTCAGCTAACAAAAGAACATTTTAGCCAGTCTTTTAAAAGTGGCTTCTCTATAAAACTCCATTGTTTCATCTTGACATTCCTAAATAATGCTGTGAGAATGACAGGTTACAATGCTGCAGAATTAATGGACTTCTACCAGCAGGACATCCTTCCCTTCCTCCTCAGGAAAGAGGGACACAAGTTTGCTTGGCATATGAAAATACTGAAGACAGCAGCCAAATTGCACATTTAATTTCCATTTACCTCAGGAGTCAACAGAAGCCTATGAAAAGGAAAAACATAAAACTTACCTTTTGCCTCTTTTTTTCTAATATTTTGCTAGTGATTAGTAAAACAGTAAATCCATCTCCATCAGCAGATTAATTTCATAAAATAGCAGTGATTTTATAATTCGTATTCTGGCAGGGATGAAAGTATGGCAAGAACAAGAAAAATATTTCCAAGATGTCAAAGCGGATATAAGTAACATGCACTTTATATAAAAAATTATATTCCAGAAATAAATGGGTTATTGCAGCCATTAAGTGTCCTAGGTAGTCTTAAACCATTTGGTAGGGTCTCTTTGCCTTCTGTGCATCCTCCTGTCTCAGATGTTGGGCTAACAGCTGCTGCACAGGTATTTAAAATCCTGGTCTCAAGGGCTAATGCACATATTTATTTATTGTTGGGCAACGATGTAGTCATCTGGTGGCAAGAACTATGATAAAGTGCCAGGTTTTGGTACATTAATTTTGGATGTTCTTAAATACCAACATACTATAAAATACTGCTGCTTTGCTCAGAATTCTTTAGCCTGGAGAAGAGAAGGCTCCAAGGAGACCTTATTGTGGCCTTTCAATACTTAAAGGGGGCTTATAAGAAAGATGGGGACAGACTTTTTACCAGGGCCTGTAGTGTGTATGGACAAGGTGTAACAGTTTTAAACTAAGAGAGGGTAGATTTAGATTAGGTATAAGGAAGACATTTTTTACTGTGTGGGTAGTGAGACACTGGCACGGGTTGCCCAGAGAAGCTGTGGATGTCCCCTCCCTGGAACCATTCCAGGTCAGGTTGGACGGGGCTTTGAGCAACCTGAACTAGTTGAAGATGTCCCTGCCCACGGCAGGGGGGTTGGACTAGGTGATCTTTAAAGGTCCCTTCCAACACAAACCATTCTATGATTCTATGAAATTGCCAAAATGTTCTTACAAAATTACAATAAAATATCAATTCTTCTCTATTCAGGCACAAATCCATAGTACTATTGAAGGCAAAGTTCCACCCAGGTAGGGCAACTTAGAAAACCATTGTCTTCTGATTTAAAACTGTTCTTTAGAGGAGAAACTGTTCTTTCACTTGTCTGGACAGCATCTGGCATGCAAGTGCTACCACACCACAAACCAGCGACACAACCCACAAGCAAAAGGACAAATTTAACCTAATCACTGACGGGTATGCCTTTAGGGCAGCCTTAGGACTACGTCTTCCTTTCGGATTGTGTTCCATTTTATATAAACTTCACCTTAAACAGGCGTGAGACAAACTGTACACTATGTAATCAGCCCCTTGGTTATCACAGTTGGGGTTCCATGTTTTTGCCCAAAAGCCTCCTGTGGGCTCAGACTCACAGTAATCAGCCCAGATCCCCCAGTTTCTAAGAGGTCCAACAGTCCATACCATTATACTCAAGGTGCAGGGGGCCCTACACACTCTTAAGGCAGCCCAATTTTTCCTTGAGGCTGTTGTTAAGAGGAAGCAGTGATCTGCTTCTAGCTGAAGAAGCATTTAATTGAATCTTTTATGAATTATGCAAGGAAGCCAACAATTTCCAACCCTGTAATTATTGTTTTTTGTTCAGCTCACTACAGCTCTTTTATAAAGAAGCAGGCTTCAGTTCCAGCTGTCTGTTGCACAGATGTACACGGGCAGGTGTCAAAAGCAAGGGAACTAAAGAAAGAAAAGGACTACCTGGACCAAAGAATTCAGAATAATTCTGCTACCAGAAAATTACTACTCCACAAAGCAGTTTCCTTGGACTATAAAAATTAGAGATTTAAAAGCTGTATTTTATATATAAACCAAGGCTGTCTTTGTGTTTATGTAGGTTTTTGTAGTTTTAAACCAACAAACAAAGACTATTTTTGTGCCTAAAGTCAGAACAATTCCATCACTGTCAAGTTAGAAGTGAGTACAAACTGAGAAGGAAGTGTTACTGGTTGGGAGCTAGTAAGTCATCAGCTGAGTAATCTTACTCCAAGACTATGAAAAAGCCTGAAAAGGTAAGACGAAGAGCCAAGCACCTAGGTGGGAGTGAGAAAGTATGACTCCAGAAAATGAGAATATTGTTACACTGAAGCCCATGGTGATGTTCACTCCACCACTAAGTGCAGTAAATTTCCAGTTTAATCGCAATTAGTGATTAATTAAGGGTGAGCAAAAGCACATCCTTCTATCAGACTGTTTCAGAAACATTGTGTGAATTCAGACAAGACTCAGAGAGACTCAGAGAGAGAGCGCAACTCTTATGAAGCTGTCTAATGAAACAATATGGCCTATGAACTAAAAGAATATCCTTTCCTTGGGCTTCAACTATTAACAGCACAGATCAGTCAGACCTTAAATGTTCAAACACCTTGCCCTGAAAGCGAATTTCAGTTGCTGGGAGACACATTAAAGCGAATAAAAAGACGACAATGTTGAGAACCAGCTTTAATAAAATGAAGAAAGGATGACAGCTTCCATCAAAACGGCATTTATGCACCATCGGAAAACCTTTAACTTATCAAAACCTGATTTATCAAGTTAGCTTTGTTCTGCCTTACATCTGTTCTCGAAGTAACAGAAACATTCAAGGCAGTACATAAATCTATGATGGTGATGTATGAAAGAGGTATGCTATAAGGGAGGTTAAGGGAAAGCCATTTCACCAGCATCAGCACATCTATGTAAAATGCTACACATTGAAGCTGCAAAAAATTAACTATATTAACAGGTTTTAGTTCAGTACACAGTATTCATAATGTCATCGGCACAAGGATTCAGATTTCAGACTTTTTTCTTTAAATCTCAAATGAGGTTTCTTGTTCAAAACCCACTCAAACGCTTGTCTCCGTGTCTTTTGGCACTTAAATGACCTGATTTTTGTGCTTCACACTTCTGAAAAATCAGGACGCTTATTTGCATTCATGAGCAACAATACAGATGTCGTTCCCTCACTTCCATACAGAGGCTCTCATTTGTAGCATACAAGGAACACTGGGGACTGAGATTACAAGACTACTGCTAATCCTGCTTGATATTAGACAAGCCATTTCTCCCCCCAGAAGCATTATTACTTTGGCAATAAGTGGATTGCAAAAGTGGATTTATTATCAGCTCCTTGATTACTCTGCAGATGTTTTAAATTTATTGCTACCCAGCTTAATGTTCCCTAAATTAACCATTTTCAAAGTCTTTACAAAAAGTTTAGCAACCAGACTACAGCATATAATTACTTTTTTTAATAAAAATAGATATTAGAAGAGAGAGTGCTTTATTAAATAGACCATGACTCAAAAGGAAAACACTTTTAGTCAAAGGACTGAGATGTTCATTATGTAAATTAAACTATTCAAATGTTGCAACAGGAGTACGTGTAAGATTTGCAGCAAGTCTAGCTTCTTAAGTCAGTCAAATACATTCTACATGCCTCCTTAAGCATTTGCTTAAAACTTAAGCACAAAACACAGCACATGCTTAAGTGCTTTGCAGCAATTTCTACCGCACTGGTGTGTAAGTCACAAAAGGAAACTCATACAATATAGCACTAATACAACAGTAACCTACTGAAGCATGACATATTTCCTGCACAAATACAATATTTCATTTTGTTATTTTTGCTGTAAGGCTGCAGAATATCCTAAACCCCACAAGGAACAACTACCTATACTAACAGTGCTTGGGCAACTTCGTTGCCTCATAACCTCAGCTACAGGACAAGGAAGCAAAATACATAGCTGCTGCTTTCAAAAGCGAAGAAAGATGGGAGAAAAAAAGTTAGGACAAATCGCCACTGGCAGCCAAGTACCTTTGTTTTGAACAAGTCTTCCATCCTTACCTCGGCAAATCATCTTTCATGAGCACTGAATCCATCTTAAATAGAAAGGGCTGGTTTTTGACTTGACTCTTTATCGACACAAAATTATACATATAAAGCATTATACTTTTGAACATATTAAACAATTAGTTAAAACGGGATTTTCATACATCCACTTTCATGGTGAACCAAGGTGTTTCCTGAGGCAAGGAATCTATTTAACATAAATGCAAAACAGTTTTTTCAGCTGTGCTGGCTCTCCACAACAACTACGTGCTGAGCAACTGGGTTCTACCACAGTTCTCAACTGCCTGCCATCACAGAAGGAACTAGAGGAAAAGGTTGCACCTCGTCTAGCTCCTGTTGCCAACTCGTATGTCTCAACACCTAGGTGAGAGAGGATAAACTGAACTACAAAGTTGCGTTGCCATTTCTAATCTGAATTCCTTGATTGTGTAAAGTGAATTTGAAAATTGAACCACTTAATTGGTGTAGCACCCTTCATGTATCACTCCTCCATCCTTTCTTAATTCAAGGCATTGCCAAAACTCCTTCTGTCGCAAAAAATCACCCAGCTCAGATGACCTTGGCACTCCCGTCTTCACTTTTTCAGCAGCAATCCTGAGGGCCTTAATGCTCTGCACTCCTTTAGTTGCTTCTCTGAAGCCATCCAGTTCTACTGGGAGGATACATACTGTATCAGAAAATGTTGCAGGGCTATGCAGTTGCTGTTGCAGGGCTATGATCTTGCTGGGATCACAGAGACACGGTGGGGTGACTGGCATGACTGGAGCGCTGCAAAGAAGGGATACAGGCTCCTTAGGAAAGACAGGCCAGGAAAACAAGGTGAAGTGGTGGAGTTGCCATTTGCGTAAGAACACAGCTGGAAAGCATGGAAGTCTGCCTTGGGATGGACAATGAGCCAACTGAGAGCTTATAGATAAGGACTAAAGAGATGACAGGTGTGGGCGACATTATAGTGGGTGTCGGCTATAGGCCACCTGACCAGAAAGAAGAAGCGGATGAGGACCTCTACAGACAGCTAGAAGCAGCTTCACATTCACAGGCCTTGGTCCTCAATATCTACTGGAGGGACAACACAGCAGGACATAAGCAATTCAGGAGGTTCCTGAAGAGCATCAATGACAACTTCCTGACCCAAGTGATAGAGGAACCAATGAGGAGAGGTGGTCTGCTGGACCTCATACTCAGCAACAACAAGTGGCTTGTTGGGGATGAGAAGGTCAAAGGCAACCTTGGCTGCAGTGACCATGAGGTATTGGAGTTCAGGATCCTGAGATGAGGGAGCAGGGCAAAAAGCAAGCACAACGCTGGACTTCAGGAGAGCAGTTGGCCTCTTCAAAGATCTGCTTGGTAGAGTCTGATGGAATAAGGACCTGGAGGGAAGGGGGGCCCAAGAAGGCTGGTTAATATTCAAGGCATCACCTCCTCCAGGCTCAAGAGTGGTCCATCCCAATGAATAGGAAGTCAGGCAAAAATGCCAGGAGGCCTGGATGGATGAACAAGGAGCTCCTAACAAAACTCAAACACAAGAAGGAAACATACAGAGGGTAGAAGCACAGACAGGTAACCTACTAGGAATATAGAGACACTGTGCAAGCATGCAGAGATGCAGTTAGAAAAGCCAAAAGCCCACCTGGAATTGAATCAGGCCAGAGATTTCAAGGGCAACAAGAAGGGCTTCTATAAGTACATCGGTGAAAAAAGAAAGGCTAGGAAAAACATGAGCCCAGTGCTGAATGGGGCAGGGGCACTGGTGACACAGGACATGGGAAAGGCTGAGGTCCCGAATGCCTTCTTCACCTCTGTCTTTACTTGCAATACTGGCCTTCAGGAATCCCCGGCCCAGAGACCAGGGGGAAAGGCTGGAACAAGGAATATGTGTCCTTGGTTGAAGAGGATCAGGTCAGGGAATGCTTAAGCAAACTAGACATGCGTAAGTCCATGGACCCTGATGGGATGCACCCACAATTGCGGAGGCAGTTGGCAGATATTATTGAGAGTGGCCTCATAATGATCTTTGAATACTCATGGCAACTGGGAGAAGTGCCCAAAGACTGGAGGAAAGTAAATACCACTCCTATCTTCAAGAAGGGCAAGGAGGAGGAACCAGGGAACTACAGTATGGTCAACCTCACCCCGATGAGGTGATGGAGTAACAGATATTGGAAACGATTTCCAGGCACACGAAGGACAAGAAAATCATCAGGAGTAGTCAGCATGGATTCATCGAGGGGAAGCCACGCTTGACCAACTGGATAAACTTCTATGATTAAATAAATGACTGTCTTGGTAGATGAGGGGAGAGCAGTGGATATAGTCTACCTTGACTTCAAGAAGGCTTTTAACACCATCTTGGATGAGCAGACAGTGAGGTGGATTGCAAACTGGCTGAGCAGCCGGTCCCAGAGAGTGGTGATCAGTGGAAGAAAGTCTAATTGGAAGCCACTAACAGTGTACCCCAGGCATCAACACTGGGTCCAATTGTATTCAAAATCCTGGATCACCTCTCATATGAGGAAAGGCTGAGAGAGCTGGGGCTGTTTAGCCTGGAGAATAGAAGGCTCAGGGTGGTAATCTTACCAATCTGTACAAACACCTGAAGGGAGGGCGTAAAGATGGAGCCAGGCTCTTTTCAGTGGTGCCCAGTGACAGGACCAGAGGCAATGGGCATAAACTGAAACACGGGAGGTTCCCTCTGAACATCAGGAAACATTTCTGTACTGTGAGGGTGACCGAGCACCGGTACACATTGCCCAGGGAGGTTGTGGAGCCTCAGTACTTGGAGATACTCAAAAGCTGTCTGGACATGGTCCTGGGCAACCGGCTCTAGGTGAACCTGCTTGAGCAGGGGGGCTGGACCAGATGACCTCCAAAGGTCCCTTCCAACCTCTAACCATTCTGTGATACGTTGAAATTTGCTTAAAAGAGGAAAGACACTCCACTGTATTTCCCCTCTTTTTATTATTCTCATTTCTTCCAAAAATAGCATAACAACATACTTGCAAATGAAATTTGATACAAGAAATCTAACAAAACTAGCTTTGATGCACACAAATTTCAATGCAACATTTCAGCACTTCTAAAGTGTTGGTGTTTTTCAGCTAGTTTCATGAATACTAATTCTAGCAGACAAGAAAGTCTTGTTTTCTTAATTTCAGCAGCAGAACTGACTGAGATTCTACTGCTTTGGTGAAGGTTATAGGTGTTCTTCTATACAATTGAAAAAAATAAATCAGGAGTCATAGCGGGAAGAGTACGATGTAATTACAGGGGGAAGGCAATCAACTACAAACTCAAATAATTTGAACGCTTAACTTTGTAACAGAAATGTTCTTTCCTAGGTTTATTATAACTTTTCAAAATACTCATGTACCATCAACAGTTCATCATTTCATCTCTATATAAACTATACTAGCCAACGGCAGCAAACAGCTACTGTTAGCCCAAGAAGGGAGAGAAAAAACATGAAGTACCCATGCGCTCTCAGTAGTGGGTGGCTACAAGCATGTGGAAAGCAGAGCAAACACCATGTCAGAAATCCCTAAGCCAGCTCTAAGAGACTGACAGGCAGTTAAGATGGTAGTTAGGCAGTTCTGCCTATTGATATCATTAGATTACATTCCCAAACAAAATATTTGGCTCTAATTTGGGGATTGTTATCCACATCTACCGGGGCATGTACACACATACACAGCCCTCCCTCCCAGAGTGAACTTCTAGTATCTTCAAATGTTATACAGGCTCCCCTTTTAGTTCATGATCCAGTACGTGACCATGTTTCCTAATGCCTTCCTAATGCCTGCAATGAGGTCCCCATCACCACCAATAGCTCATCTTTCTGCCGAGCCCATTTGGAATTTTATGAAACAAGTAAAAAACACATCCTAAGATCTGTCTAATAAGTTTCAGGAGACATTAAAACTACCAAAAAGTCAGGGGAGTCTTTAATACAATAGAAAATGTTCAGTAATCTAAGTTCAGCAGCTGTTACTGATTACTGCACAGTCGTATTTGGAAAAATGACGTAAAGATTTAAAACTTTAGAAATTCAGTTCTTTCAGAGCAGTTTTGTACAGAACAAACTCATTTAATCTTGAAAGCACCATGAAGTGACACTACATATCAGCAAGCACAAAAAACAAGAACATCATGGGACTTCACCATGTAAACTACACCTTGAATACCACTAAGGTAGATTTACACTGCAGGCTTGAGCACAGCACAGAGGTACTCAAACTGACTCAGATACTACTTGCCACTTAGCTCTGCATGCAATGTAGACATACCCTATGTGTCTGAATATATCTCGTTATGAATTAACTGAGCTCTGCAGTACAATATTTAGGCCCTCATTCTGCACCATCGAAGTCAACAGTCATTTTTCCATCAACTTCAGAAAGTGCAGGGTCAGGCTTGTAATCACAAACATACTTCTACTAACAAAACATTTGTTTCTAACATTACGTTGTGTCAAGTTCAAACATGAGTTTTGAGAGCATGCAGATTGCTTACAAATGCTTAAAAAGACTGGTTCAGAATCTTTCTTATATATACACACACAAGTCCATCTGTCACAGACAGGCAATGTAACTCAGAATCATGAGCTTGCTCTAGTTTTTGGTAGTGTCCTGCACACTTCTGATAATTACAAAATAAAAAATAAAAAAATAGTTGCAACAATGGATTTCTGACCATTCCAACTTGCACATGGATATGATCTCTTCTTGCTGCATCCAGTACGTGAAGTTTCACAGTTGCTTCTCAAATGCAAATACCAAGTAAATACCTAAAAAAGAAAATGGAGTATTTAAAGTTTCAAGCTTCCTCTGCCACTCAATTAAGTTTTCAAAATATAAACAGGTTAATACTCTGCCCAAACAACCTGCTAGCAGGTTACTGAAATTATAAAAACTGCTACGGTTTCCCAATGAGTACTTCTAGCACTCAATTCTAGCATGGTTTTAGACATATTTTCACAATAGAGCTAAGACTGCACAAAAGCAAAATATTTTAAAAACTGTTGATACGGTTAATGCAACGCTAACTTCAGTTAACGATATTACTGAAATGTGAATGTAATTCATAAATTACTACGCCATTCTACACGTAATTAACATTCACTGGTACATAAGAAGTCATATGCAACTAAGTTTAAAGACTCCTTCATACACGCAGTAATGGACAATTAGGGGTGAAATTATCAACTTCATTTTTAATTAAAAAGTGAATAAATTCATGGTACAAAATTATTAATTTTGCTCTTTTAAAATATCATGGACAAAGAAGAAATATTTACAAATGCTGGACGGCATTTTCTCAACTCCAGAACAGTATGATTCTACAAACGGGTACTCATACAGTCCACACCAGCACCCTTGGAAAATACTTATTTGGCATATAATCAATGCCAGCTATGTCAGAAATTCTTATGCTTCATACCAGACAGGTAAGTTAAACTAGTTTCTTGAGACCGTGACTCTAATTAAACATTTATGGATTTCCACTTGAACTCAGCTTTTGTTTTACGGATGAGGTGCAAATCTTTCAAGACAAGCCTCAGCGATAAAGCAAAGTGAAGTTCCATGTAATGAGCAAGCTGTGCTTATACCCTAACTATCAGAAGCTCTGTACTCCAAATCTCTCTGAAAAAAAGAGACTACTTAGAAAATACAGTCATCACTGGACTTTTAAAGGTATAAAAAGCCCCTCTCAATTAGATTAACAGTTTACATAATACTTTTACATTGCTGGAATTAATGTGCACCTTATGATTCATACCTTTAAAAAACAGATAATAATTTAAGAAAGCAAACACCTTAACTACAGATTTTTTCATTCATGAGTTGAACAGCATTTTTTGTTTGTTTTTAAACAACTAACACAACCAGTATAATGGTCTGAAAAATGCAAATGCTGGTTGGGTGCAGTTACACAGAAGTTAGTAATAATCTCTGTGGGAGTCAATTTTTATCCTTAGAATTCTCAGTCCCTTATATCTGAGTTTTATTAAACTCAACATTGGAAAAAGATGATGCCAGAAGTTTTCCATGGCACATGCTCACAAAATTTCAAAACATATTTAACAATAGTGTATCCTTTTCGGTGTCTGAGGCACTGACTTTCTTCTCCTCCCTTTATAAAACATTCAAATACCTCTTCACCATCCATGCTTTAATTGCTTCTTCCTGAAACATGTATCACTACAGGCAAAGAGTAAAGCTTCAGTCCCTGTCTTCCCAAAATAGATTTGTATTATTTTTGATGAATGTTATGTCCCAACCGAAGTTTGTTTTCTAGTTGACTGATAACAGTATAATACCCAAGTGTACCAAACAGAAGTATAGTATTTAATCCTCCAACACTAGCAAAATACTGGCATCCTCTTTTCATACACTCTAAGTAAGGCTTCCCCAAACTATTTTAGCCCAAAAGTTTGTGTGCTAAAAGCTACTTAAATAAAGCAAAATTTCAACCTATTTTATGCATTTCCCTCCCAATTTCTTCAGATGTGTGCACAACATAATCTATACACAGGCATTTGAATAACACAAACAATAAAATTTCATTATATTTAAAATTTGGATTTTCTTCCATAAGCAGGCTATTTTACAGCCTTCCATAGCAGTCATTCAGTCAATACTGAGTTTTCAAAACAATACTTACTTGTTGCTTCCCATTCAGATTTACTCAAGGTTCCCTAGAAGGGGACAAAAAAACCAAAAACACAGTTTCAACAAAAAATGAGGAAACAATAAAACACTGCTTTAACTCAGGATAATCAATCTTTCACAGACCAACTTCTAACCACCCACACTGGCTGGCTATTTAGGGACTAGAAGAGCATTACTGTAGACCATAGAGACTTATAACTCCAATAACAAGGACGGTAGGGAACTGGAACACCACAGATAACGGAACACACCTAAATTACAGAGGTATAGGCGAATGGGCCAACAGTCTGCTGGGCTGGATGTCTCTGCAATGCAGAGCATGCTGGGTCCATTACCACACATCAGTGTGACTTGACCTGGCTCAAGCTGCTCTCCAGCCTGAGATGCCCAACACTTGTGCAGAAGTCAAGAAGAGGCCCTATATCACGGTGCTGCCACCTTCCCCAGGAATACTGCCTGCCTCCACCTAACACCTCCCTGCAGCCCACAAAAACTCTATTTGCAAGAGACTAACTCCCAAGCCCACTCACACACTGAAAAAACAGACTGCCTTGCAGCCTAGGAAACCTACTCCTAGCTCAGCCTTTCGGATGAAAGCAGGACAAGTGCACAAGTGAAAAGCTGCTGCCATTTATCCCACCTATTAAGAAGCACGAGGTAACAACAAGCTGGTTTTCTGCTCTGCCCACTCCATCCCCTTCCAGTGAGTTCTCACTGGGGGCATGATTTAGCCCATATGCTTGCTACCCACTGACCAATCCTGACCAAATGATTCATCTTTTAAAACGCTTGTGAAAAAAGGCTTGTTCAAGCAGATTTCTTCTTTGCCAGGTGACACAGCACCTGGCAAAAGAGGTCTTTGGTCTGACCTGACCATTCTCCTGTTCTTAAGCTTATTTCTTAAAAGAAGCATTTTTCTTTTTAAAATTTTTAGATTTCAAATACAGAGAGTGGGTTTCTTTTCCCTCTTGATGTACAATTTTTGTGTATACAGTAAAAGGAATATATCTTCAAGAATTCAGAACACGAACCAATAACCAATGGATCCCAATTAATAACCAATAATCCAATAATCATTGGATAAACCAATTATTAAAAAAAGAAAAATCCAAGTGGAAAAACTTCAAGCTGACCAGCCTCATGCTATGTCTATAACAGTGAAATACGATGCCATCTATCAGTAACTGCATATGATTTTACTAAAACTACAATCTTTACTCAAACTAGTCTCCAATTTTGGTTCTCTCTTGTCAAAGAGCCTCAACACATAAAAAAGACCTGAAGTTCAGACTGAAAGAGCCAACGCTGCTTATCAGGAACCATTCAGCATGAATAGTTAGGTTGAACCAAGCCTTTGCAAGGATTCCATCCAGCCTGACTCCCCAAATGCACAGACAGAAGCAAACACACAGCTATACGCTACCCTGAATAGCTAGCCTGGCTACAGATGGAGAAGCAATAGCCAAATGGCAGCAGCTTCTGGGAAAAAAATGACAGCAGGCATTGCCTGTCCTCCCACTCGCTTCCCAGGAACAGCAGCTGTGCGGGCTCCTGTCCAACACGCACCCAATTCTGAGATCAATACAGAAGAATGAAAGGCTGGGAGGGGACCAGCTGCAGACAACGCCAACATTGTCATGTACTGCTAGGACAACGGAAGAAAGAAAAACTCTATAAAAACATGAGAAAGACAGCAAGCTCAGAAAGGTAGCATGTGCATTAGAAGCCAGGACTAGAAGCAGAAAAAACATATTTAATTGGACCACCGATCTAAAACCTAATATGACCTCCATTAAAGATGGTTCAGTATTCTTTTATTTCTGAAGTCATAAATCAAGCTGCCAAAACAGGAGAAATGCAGAAAAATATATGACTGGATATCAGACTAAGTTTTGTACAAGGTAAGATTACCATCATCACAAAGAAAGTTTCTTTTCATTCCAGAACGTGAACAGAATATCATATTTAACAAAACTGAGGGCGGAAATATATGGATTTTGTTTTATGCATGTAGGACTACTCTAATTCTAGGAGCTCTATTAAAAAGAAAAAAAATGAAGGCACAGCAGGTTTAAAAAAAATAGCATTTACAGAACTTTAATAAAATCGGCCGAGAAGCGAGCTGGATCTTCTTCACCCAAAAAGACAATAGAAAAGCAATGTTTAAGATTTCAAATACATACAGTATTATGAAGAAAGTTCTCAACTCTCCTGACAGAGGATTAAAAGAAGAAAACTAAATCTTTAAATCGGTAGTATGAAGATCCATAAGAAAATTCTTCAAATTAAAAAGAGTTATGTTAGAACAGCTGGCCAAGGAAGATGGCAAAATATCCTTTCCCTTTTGCATTGTTACAAATTTCTTAATAGCTACCAAATTAAGTGAATTTGTTTGAGTATGGGGTATAGATTACATGAACTCCTCAGCCCTGCAGCTTTACGATTTTTCACATGCACATAGACATTCATACCAATTTCACTGCAGTTGAAATGAAGAAGGCACCACATGTCCAAAAGATCAGGACCTCAACTTTAGACACCATTTGCTCTAGTGAAGCAAGAAGGAGCTTACCAGTGGTAACTTTGCCTTGCCATCTTTGATGAACTCTTTTGCGTGCTCATAATCATCAGGTTTATCGGAAACAAGCCTGGAATCACCAAATGTAGAATATGGCTGGAGAACATAGAAAAAAAATAACAAAAAGTATTAATTGCATAGTAAGATACATTAATCACATCAGTCAAGGGTTTGTCACAACATAGCCCAGAATGGAGGTCAGTAATTATTAAAAGGATTCTAAATTTAGATCTCTCCTTTACAGCACCTATAAGGTCAAGTCCAATATTCCCTACTTCCCAGAAAATCTGACACCCAGGATTTTTATAAATGAACTTTGATCCTTATGTTTCCAAAACAGGGGAAACAATAACTATAAAAATTATTCTCCCTGTACAGCACATTATGAGTATTACCTAGATACACCCTTTTAGAACAGCAACTAAACAAACCAGCATCTCTTAAGTAGAAACACTAAGAAATGAGCAACTGTAAGATTTCAAGCAGAATGCTTAAAATGCTTTAATAACACACAGGAGCTGTAACAGAAGTATACAACTGATTCTTCAAAACTAATATATACTTATTAAGGATGCCAGTTACTGCATAATGGTCTGTACTTAACAATGCAGTTCTCAATAGTAAAGTGGCCACTAATTTAAGACAACTCTCACTTTTAGAATCATAAAATCATAGAATTGTTTAGGTTGGAAAAGACCTTTAAGATCATAAAGTCCAACCATTAACCTAGCACTGCCAAGTCCACCACTAAACCATGTCCCTAAGCACCACATCTACACGTCTTTTAAATATCTCCAGGGATGGTGACTCAACCACTTCCCTGGGCAGCCTGGTCCAATGCTTGACAACCCTTTCGGTGAAAAAATTTTTCCTCACATCCAATCTAAACTTCCCCTGGCGCAACTTGAGGCCATTTCCTCTCGTCCTATCACTTGTTACTTGGGA